ACATGTATCTTTTTCTTACCCTTTATTTCCTAAATAAACTTGTTTTACTTCAAAAAGGGAAAAAAATACCTGCCAATCTCTTTTCCAAAGCAACCACCATTATTTTTACCTTTCCACCAACATTGTTTGAGGGTTCCAGTAGCCAGCTCTGGTGTGGTTGTGGATTGTGTGTGACGGTGTGCAAATGCTGGCTCAGGCTCACAGGGATGCAGAGTGAGGTGCAGGTGAGAGAGGCTGTTTTTCCACTGTCACGCCAGTGTGCCTCACACGTCTACCCTTGTGACTAGCTAACCCTCAGGCTTTGTTTTGAGGCACAATAAGTGGTCCCAGTAGGTCACATTTGTAGCCTCATTAAATTCTTGTTGTGAACTGAGGGCCCAGGAGCTTTCATGAGTCATGGTTATTTTATTTGTCATGCTTTGTAAAGAATATTAATGCATCGTTTACCTCACCTTCATAAACCAACTTGATAGATTTAGAGAGGCTGTGTTTTTTGTTGTTCTAGTTTGTTTTGTTTTTGCCTAGGATGAATCATGTTCATTATTCCTTACCTTTATTTTTTTTTTCCTGGACAAGTGTGAAGTAATGGGGAAGGAAGGTTAAAATAGATGCTAAATCTGAAGCTAATTTTTTTTTTTGGGTGGGGGCACACCCATCTCAGGACTTACTCCTGGCTTATGATCACTCCTGGAGGACTTGGGAGAATGGGAGGGAGTGCTGGGGATTGATTCTGGGTCAGCCGTGTGCAAGGCAAGATCCCTACCTGCTATACTACCACTTTTTTAGTTAATTCTTATCTCTCAAGGTACAGAATCCCTATGATTTTCACAATCAGTGTTAATAGTCCAGAACATTTGGGCCTTAGACCTCTGTTTAAAAAACATTATGAGTTCACTGCTCAGACTGCATGCAGTAGAGGGGAGAACAGAAAGGGCAGATGCTTTGGATGCTCTTTTTTCTATCCGGGTTGAGGCCTCTAGAGAGGAAATTGATCTGCTGTATAGTCCTTGGAAGGTAAATAACTTCATTTTCCACAGGGATGAGGGGTTGTAAGAGACCCTGGGGGGCCTGGGAGATAGTTCAAGAGGGTGGAGCGCATAGGAGTGAGCACTGGGTTGGATCCCTGGCACTGTGTGATTCCCTGAGCACCAACCAGGCTGGGAATAGCCACCAAGCTCCTCTGGGTAAAACCCAGAAAAAAAGAGGCAAAGGGTGAGAGAGACCTTCAAACAAACTCCACAGCTTTGTCTTTAACTCCAAATGTGAGAATTAAATTGTGCAGTGAAGCCATAGTTACTTTAAGGCACAGTAAGAGAAAGAACATAATAGAAATGAGTCACAAAACAGAATATCAGTTTGTGCATGCACTGAAATTGACAGTGTTTTTTCTATTCAAATGACTGGTTTTTATCACTTGCTAATTTGATTATATACCTCATGGTTGAGATCTACTCCCAGTTTCTCTCCATTTAGAAATGAAAATGTAAATGTTTCTCTCCAGAACAGAAAATGAAACTGGGGAGATAGGTCACAGAGCTCAAGCTCTTTCCTGGCTTTCACAGAATCCCAACTTCAATCACTGATAGCATATGCACCCCCTACTTCCCAGTAGACCGATCAGAACATTAAAATCCAAGGGAGCTGGGGGACTTTGTCTTTCCACTAGCAGCTGAGTGGCAGAACCAGGATGAGAATCTGGCTGTACTTCACTACAGGCTAATCCGTGGTCTCCCTGATTCTACCTCACTTTTGATGTTTCCTCTGTCCTCACACTTGGCTCAGGCAACAATGGGCTTATTCTTCTTTCCTCCCTACACAAGATGATGATGATTCTCTGGGGGGCAGTGTTCTGTAGGCTGCTGGTGTTGGGTACTGGAGGTAGAGGGTGGCAAGGAGCCATGTCATGCCCAGCAGCTAATGAACACCCTGTGGACCTAGGAGGAGGAGGTGGTAGACCCTCCATTGGCCTTTCAACCTCCAACCACATCTATATGCCATACTCTAGAGAGTTGCTGCGGAGAACCAGTTTTGTTTGTTTGCGATTTTGCATCGGAGGTAGGGATGGGTAAGAGATACCTATGGAGAGAGATTTTGTTTTCACTTAATACGTTTAAAGGACCTAAAATGTATTGAGTTGGAAGAGGAGTTGCATCATTGCTAGCACTGCTGTGATAACAAAAGCAGTTTTACACGCTTGTATGAAAGATTCAGATTATGTTTCTAAATTAGCCCACAATGTCTTTTGGTTCACAGTTTAATAATCATGGTATCTGATTTGGACTTGGCTTCAGGGCCTGACAGTGAGTCACTCTTTCCTTTGGTATTGCTCTTACCCAAGAAGTCTTTTCAGTAGACTAGGAGGAACTGGTCTTAGAAAAAGGGTTTGTGTAACCAGGTGCCCCAGGGCACCACCTTCCGGAGGAAGTCAGGAACTTCTGATATATCACCACCTTTATGGTGGGTTTCCTGTGTTGTGTCTTGGGACTCTTCTCAACACCTTCCTACCTACAGCTTCAGAGACTATGAAGAGGTAGCAGCAGGTGATCTGTCAGGACCTGTGGTCTTCTGCTCTTTGCATATAGGAAGGCATATTTGTTCCTAATACTTGAGTTGGGACTCTCTTAAAGGAGAGTCCCAACTCAACTCATGAAAGCCTTCCCCTGGGACACTTTAAGTATTCTCTTGTACATCAGCACATCAAGGCAGAAGTGCCAGGGACCATGGACCTAAAGGCTGCCGTGTTAGTACTCAAGGCCCAGAAGTTCACTTAGGGGCTAGGCATTATCTAGATGATTATTGACACTTCTCTAGTGTCATTGTTTTCAGTAGGGAGAATAGTATCTCCCTCCTGGAATACACAATGAGGACCAAACAGAAGAAGTTTCATTAAGGAATTGAGCACACATAATAGGTGCTTCATTCACCCTAGACAACAGTGGGTACCTCCCAGCAACTCCCTTCTCACCCTGTCCTGTTACACTCAGCGAAGAGATAATTAAAGAGAGCTCAAGTCCCGTATGTCACGCCAGTAGAGACTGTGTAGTCTGTCAGATACAGAGAAAACAACTAGTCTGGCATAGTCAAGTGCTAGATCACAGACAAGTGTGTGGCCTCTTCCACGTCAGGTTTCAAAGGCCCTGGACCTCCAAATGTGTGAGAGTGCTGGTTGCCCCAGCAGTAAAATTTGGTTTAAAGGTGCGTCCCAGCTTTTGGATCAGGATAGAACTGATAAAAATAGTCCATGACCTAGAACATAGTGTATCTTTTCAAATGGAATTAGTCAGCCTTGATCAGTTGTTTTTAGATACAGATGTTAATCATTAATGCTGGACCCAAGCTCCATTGCTTATAAGGTTAATGAGGCTTGTCTTTGGCTTGGACAGGATGTGTGTGAAGCTCTGGGAAACTAAACTTTACATTGTTTTCTTTAAAAAAATTTTTTTTTAAATTTTAGCAAAACAAAGTGCACACCACTCCTTGATTACTGTGAGTGAATCCTAATGTAAATATAACTAGTCAGTGTAGTTCATCATTTGTAGTAGATATACCACTCTGGAGGGAGAATGTTTATAATGGGGGAGGCTGTATACGCATGAGTGGGCAGGAGGTGTGTAGAGAATCTATCTTCCAGCATATTGTTCTGTGAACCAACCTAAAACTGCCCTTTAGGGGCTGGAGCGATAGCACAGCAGGTAGGGTGTTTGCCTTGCACGCAGCTGACCTGGGTTTGATTCCCAGCATCCCATACGGTTCCCCGAGCACCGCCAGGAGTAATTCCTGAGTGTAGAGCCAAGAGTAACCCCTGTGCATCGCCAGGTGTGACTCAGAAAGCAAAAAAAAAAAAAAAAATGACGTACAGAGGGCCAGAGAGATAGTACAGTGGGTAAGACTCTTGCCTTGCACACTGGCAACGTAACTGGCAACCTGAGTTAGGTCCCTGACATCTATTAATGGCCTCTAGAATACCTCCAAGAGTGATTTCTGAGCATAACCAGGAGTAACCCTCAAGCATCGCTGGGTGTGACCCCCAAACAAAACAAAATGCGTGCAGTGGTTTGGAGAGATAGCAGAAAAACACTTGCCTTGTATGTGACTGATGCTTGTTTGATCCCCAGCACCCAACATGGTCCCCAAACTCCACCAGGAATGAATCCTGAGCACAGAGCCAGGAATAAACCATGAGTACCAGAGAGTATGACCCAACCCCATGCTGCGTTCCAAAAAAATATTAGGAAAAAAACATATTAGGACCAGGTATAGAGCTTATAGCTTACATATCCTCATGGGTTCTCCCTAGCACTCTCCTCTCCCACAAAAAAAAAAAAAAGAAAAGAAAAGAAAACACAAAAATCCCATGAAGTTACTGGAGAGATTAGTACATCAATTATATCGATGTCCAATTTTATTAGAAAATAGATTTAGGCAGGAGAAATAGTACAGAGCTAAGATGCTGCCTGCCTTGCATACAACTGTCACTGGCTCAGTCTCCTGCACTGCATGATCTCCTAGCATTCGGGGTGTGACAACACCACACCCCCCCCAAAAAAAAAGCGGGGGGGGGAATAGAATGGTTAGATTTATGGGACTGGGGTGTGTCTGAAATGGTACAGCACATGCCTCATAATCCCATGCACTCCTGGGAGTGGCCGCAAAGGGGGAAAATAAAGTAATCAGGGTGTTTAAGACTGAATTCCAGTGTTAGGTTTGAAATCCTATGATCTTGTTGTGGCTGCCCTTAGCCTGTGGTAACTGCTCTCGTGCTGTGGTGCCCCTTATTGTTGAAGGGCTCTGGAGCCAGCCCCTGCCTGTCCCATCTGTCCTGCCCACCCTGGGGAGCTCTGGCTGTTTGTGCTTCCGTGGGAGGAGGCGGGGCTGGAGAGGGCAGCCTGGGCGGGCCTGCCGCAGCTCAGGCTGTTTGTCTTTGGAGGAGGAAGCCTCGCTGCTGGAAGGCATTCCTATGCCCTTTCCAACTCCCCTGTCACTGTTTGTGCTTCCCACAGAGCATACTGGTCCGTGCAACCGGAGGAGCCAAGGCCCGGACAGACTCACATATAGACACGACAAACGGAGGACGCGCTGGCTGCTGGATCCTGCCGCCTCCCCCTTCTCCCTATTGCCTGTGCCTGGAGGATGAGCCCAGCCTTCAGGGCCATGGATGTGGAGCCCCGCACCAAGGGTGTCCTCTTGGAGCCCTTTGTCCACCAAGTTGGGGGACACTCCTGCGTACTCCGCTTCAACGAGACGACCCTGTGCAAGCCCCTGGTCCCGAGGGAGCACCAGTTCTACGAGACCCTCCCAGCTGAGATGCGCAAATTCACACCTCAGTACAAAGGTGAGCCCCCAGCTGCCATAGGGGTCGCCAGTGCCTGGCGAGGAGGTGCCAGGCATGGAAGCCATCTAGGGAGCTGTCCCCCCTTCCCTTTATTGTGTTTTCCCTCCCCCTTCTTCTCCTCTTGGCCCTCCGCCCAGCACCTCACACCCTCAGTTTTCAAGCCCTGGTAAGATTGCTCAATTCTGTTTTGTTTTGTGGATTTGTTTATAGAGTTTTATTTTTGATGGACGTGCAGTTGTGTTTTATGTTCGGGTATCTCTTGATTACAGTAACCCATAGTCCCCCATGGCAGGGGACAGTGGGGGAAGACTTGGGAGAATTTTACCCCGAATATATGCCGCCTGGTTTTTGTTCTTCAGGACCCAGAAGTCCGGGTGATTCGGTAGGCTGGGAGCAGGGTTGAGTCAGATGGAATGTAGGAGTGGGAGGCTGTGCTGATTACCAGAAGCCCTTTGCTGGTACCAAATGTCCCCGAAATGGCTGTGTTAAAGCAACCCTTTGATTTACACGGGGTGGTTTTCCCCCCCCCCTTTTTATGATGCATTTGGGTGGAGGTAGCAGTAGCCACCAACATGGTATGGTCCGGGGGGGAAGGTTCTTTATAAATCTAGGAAGAACCCATTAAAAGACTCGTGAACAACTTAGTTTCTGCTGGGACTGTTGGAACAGGCTCTTGGAAGATAATGCACCGGGCACCTCTCTCTGCTCTGAAGATGCATGTGTGTTGTGGTGGGGATGGGGGTGTTGGGGGGCCCTCACTTGGTCCTTCTCTGTTGTTTTTTTTCCAGGACAAAGCCAAAGGCTCTTTGTTAGCAGGCCGCCCCTGCCCCCTTTTTGCCCTTGGTTATTTCCCCCGTGACCACAGGGAAGTGTGGTCCCCTGAATTCCCAGAGCCCGGGTCCATCTCAGAAGTGTCGTCTCTCTCTGAGCACGCATTCCCCTGCGGCGAGCAAGCGGGCGGGCAGCAAGGACTGAGCAAATTGAGTGATCCTTGGCCGGAGAGGCCTGGGAGGAAAGGTGTTCAGCCAGTCGCTTATAAGGCGCTCGTCGGTACCTGCTGAAACGTTCCCACCTGACCGCCCCCTCCTCAAAGACTGTGATTGCACAGAACAGGTGCTAGATCCTTGAAGGGGTGCACTGCTTTCAAGGCCATCGCGTCTGTTCTCCGGGCCCAGCCCTATTTGCCTTGTGTTCATTTTCCTTTGTGACATGAGACTGCAAAGACCAATAAAGTGTAACACATTTGAGAAGGACAAAGGTTCCAGTGTCCACCCACATGGGGGCGCTGCAGGAAGCCATTGTGCTTAGGTGTCTGTTGTGCTGTGTGGTTTGTTTTGTTTGCTTCTTTATTTTGTTTCGCTTGCCCAGTCTTCCCCTACCCTTGGATGCGTCATACGCCTCAGGCAAACATGTGTTCCCCCTGTGTCTAGGCTCTGCTTTAAAGCAAGCCAGCCTCCAGGCTGTCAGAGTTCCTGCATTTAGGGTATTAAAAATCCCCACAAGATCCAAAAAAGAGCAAATGTTTTTGCATCTCTCAGGATTAGAAGAGTTACATACAAATAAACATTTTCAATGATGGAAAAATGTGTCTTGTAATTCTTTGGCTCTTGCCTTGTTGAGTGCATCCGAGAGGAAGACTCTCAGCCATGTTTGCTCCCTAATCGCTTGTCTTGTATGGTGTCATCTTTTCTAGCTGTTTTGATATTTGTTAGGTTTGCAGATGAGTTTGGGGCCTGTGGCAACATAGAGACTAAGGAACAGGGTAAGAAAACAACAAATGTTACAATCATGTTATTTATGACACATCTGCTTTGTCAAATTAAAAGTTCTCTCTGCTACTCACCCCCCTTCCAGGTGTGGTCTCTGTGCGCTTTGAGGAAGATGAAGACAGGAACTTGTGTTTAATAGCATATCCGTTAAAAGGGGACCATGGAACTGTGGATAGTGTAGACAATTCAGACTGTGAACCAAAAAGTAAGCTCCTGAGGTGGACGAACAAAAAACATCACGTCCTAGAAACAGAAAAGGCCCCCAAGGACTGGGTGCGGCAGCACCGGAAAGAGGAGAAGCTGAAGAGGTGGGTATGAACGGAGAGGGATCCCTTGACTCTGGGGCTGGGGAGGTGTTTGGGAAGTAATGGTTTTAGCCCAAGCCCCTTGGAGCTTGGAGCTAGTGGACCAAGTAATGGCTGCTTTGTCCATCCGTGGCCAGTCCCACATGAGCAGCTTCACCTTAATTGAGTTGGGGATTAGTTCATGCCATTTTAACACATGAAATGACAGCTGTAAAAGAGGTTTAAGTCACTCATTCTTCCTTCAGATGCCCTGTGCCGGGCCCTCTGCCAGGGAGCCATCCTTGTCCCCTCAGGTTGCATGCTGAGAGGGAAAACATGATTGCTTGGGAGCAACCTAGGCAGGGCCTTTCAAATGCCATGCCTTGTCATAGCATGTATACATAGAAAATCTATATAACTTGATGTATAAATTGTGTAGCTGAGTAGGTTGACTATTCCCATGGCACTTCAGTTCTGAATTTCCCAGATCCTGGAGTCAGGGATCCTGGAAGTCCGGGGTCCCAGGGGTGGCACTCACTAGAAAAGGTTGTTGAAGACTGCCTTAGGGAATAAGAATGGAAGTGGAAGTTGCTTTTGCATCTTAGGTCTCCTTCCTCACTGTTCACCGGTAGCTGGCCCCTTGCTTTGTTTTTGAAATTTTTTTTGAGGTATACTGACTATATATATGTGTAATAAGATGTACTAATTTGAACTGTCCCATGTGTACAATGAAACCATCTCAATATCAAGAACTCACACTTGCTGTACTCTTTCAAGTCTCCTCGTGACTCTTTCTCCCTGAATTTTGACAAGGATTGAGATTCATTGGCTCCTTGTCTTTTTATAGCCATAAGTTAGAAGAAGAATTTGAGTGGCTGAAGAAATCTGAAGTTTTATACTACAGTGTAGAGAAAAAGGGTAATGTAAGTTCCCAGCTTAAACATTATAACCCTTGGAGTATGAAGTGTCACCAACAACAGTTACAGAGAATGAAGGAGAATGCCAAGCATCGGAACCAGTACAGTATCCTTTGTTCATAAGGGTGTGTTGGTCTTGGGGAGAAAAGGTAAGTGAGAGGAGGCCTTTGGAGTTTGAAGAGGAACAGTGGGTTTCGTGGTCATGGTTGTGCCAGGATCTCCTGTATAATAAAAGTAATAAACGTGGGTAAATAGCCTTTTCCTCTGAGCTCAGCACTTGTTTAGAAGCAGAGGTGGTGGGTAGAAAAGGGAAACTGATGGACCTCTGGGGTGAGAAGCAACTCATTGGGAGACCAGCCTGCATCAAGAAGCCTTTTTTTAGCCTGGAGTTCGAGGAGTTGATTCATGCTTTCATCAAGAAGCCTTTATTTAGCCTGGAGTTCGAGGAGCTGATTCATGCTTTCACACTTCTACCACCGGTGGGCTCAGCAGAGCACCTGCCTCTCAGTCCTACTTTGTTGGACTGGCACATACAGAAAACCTAGGGTTCTGCAGCCCTCTTAACCCTTTAAGTTGTGCTTTATTGATTTTTTTTTAATTTACTGGAAAATTACTTAGAATTGAGCAGTTTCTTTTATTTATTGAGGAAATGTTTTATTTTTGTCTTTTGATCGAGGTCTTCTAAGCACTGCTCAGGAGGCCCAGGCCATCCTGGATGTATTCAGGTGACCAGGTAGTGCCAGGAATCAAATGCTGGTCTGTGCATTCTTTTGAGCTGTCTCTCTTGCCCTTTAAGGAGGACACATAACACACACGCGCACCACGAGTAATTCCTGAGTGTAGCGCCAGAGTAACACCTGAACGTCACTGGATATAGCAAAAACACAAACAAAAATCTGTGTACCAGTGACCTATTTTCTGCAGTTAAGCACTTAGAATCATTTCATGACTGTATATATACCCAGGATTCCCCATTCATGCTCTTTGAAGCAGTTCTCAGATACTTTTTTTTAAATCCCTGTACATCTATCTCTGCTTGTATCACTAAATTATAAGAATAACTTGAAGCATAAATACCATTTGTAATGGGCCAGAGAGATAGCACAAGAAGTAAGGTGCTTGTTTTGTGGCCAACCCTGATATAATCCTGACAACTCTCAAGGTCCTCTGAGTGATCCTTTGAGCACAAAATAAAGAATAGCCCCTGGGCACTACCAGATAAGACCTGCCTGAACTATAGGGCCCTCCCACCTCCCAACACCATTAGTACTCTTCAAATGTGAACTGTAATTTCTCACTACTAAACCTGTAGTTTGTTTCACATTTTCTACGTTGTCTCATAAATGTGTTTGAGTGGAGATCCAAAATGAAGCTCACATGTTATATTTGGCTGAAGTGGGTTTTTGCAGGATGAAATGGGGGTTTAGGCTTATACCCAGCGATGCTCAGGGATAACTCCTGCCTCACACTCAGAAGTCACTCCTGGCGGTGCTCAGGGAACCATAGGTGATGCCAGGGATTGAACCCATGTTGATTGTATGCAAGGCAAACACCCTACCCTCTGTACTATCACTCCAGCCCGTGTTTTGGGTGTTTTGTTTTGTTTTGTTTTTTTGAGGAGAGTGATACATTTCATAGTGTTTGGAGTTTACTCAGTTTATTTTCTTTAGTTTCTTTGCTTCTGAGCCTTTTGGGTTTTTTTTGTTTTTGTTTTTATTTTTTTTTTTTTGTGGCTGTTGTTGTTTTGTTTTTTTGCTTTAATGGGTCACACCCTAGCTCTGCACTCAGGAATTACTCTTGGCTATGCTTGAAGGACCATATGGGATGCTGGGAATCGAAACCGGGTTGGCTGTGTGCAAGTCAAACGCCTGCTGTGCTGTTGCTCCAGCTTCTGAGCCTTTTGACTAAGATTAAATGTCGTATTTAGTTGCTTTGCTGTGGGGGTGGGGAATGTGTCCACACTTTGTGGTGCTCAGGAGCTACTCCTGACTCGGTGCTCTAGGGTCATTCCCAGAGGCACTTGAGGGGACCATGCATTGCCAGAGATCAAGCCTGCGCCTCCAGCATGCATGTGCAAAGCATGCACTCTAGCCTTATGTACTACTTTTGGCTCTATTTCAGTTCTTTTAAACTCCCCATTTTTTCCTCTTGGAAATTTCTCTTTTGTTTTGTTTCTGGGCCACACCTGACAGTGCTCAGGGACTTTACTCCTAGCTTTGAGCTCAGAGATCACTCCTAGTGGGGCTTTGGGGACCATAGGGGGGTTCTGGGGAAATTGAACTTGTCAGCCCCATGCAAGGCAAGGGCCCTGCCTGCTGTATTATCTCTTAGTTGACTTGTGATTTTTTTTTTTTGCATCATTATGAATTCATAAATTTAAACAACTATATGACATATTTTAAGCCATTGCAGTTCTCTTTTGATGCTCAAGTTGTCCCACATTTGGCCAATGAGGAGCCTTTTAAAATAGGCTTCTGAGTTATTTTGACACAGTAATCCGTGATAGCTAATCTTTTTGTATGAAATGATGGTGTGGAGGTGATCTCAATGATACGATGCATGTTTTACCCAGAACGTGAGGCCTTGAGTTAGTGTTCCAAAGGCACACAGGAAATGAAAGACAGTGGTTCAGGGTCAAGGGTGTTTCCTACTAGATTTGATTGTACTCATTTCTCTTAAGCAGATGCAAGGTTTTTCAGTTTAGGGCTAAATAACACATGTTTTAACCTTGCAAGCCTTACACTGACACAGTTCTGCCATTGTAAAGCAATAATACAAAAATATAAATCAATGCACGTAATTGTATTCCAATAAAATAAACCTTTATATGGTCAGTTTGAATTTCACTTTTTTTTTCTTTTTGGTTTTTGGTGGTACCAGAGATTGAACCTAGGGCCTCTCACACATGGGAGGCAGATGCTGTACTGCCACACTATATCTTGATCTCTGTATTTTTTAATCTTAAGCATTTGAGAACACAGCAAAATTAAGACACATTTCAGGGCTTATTGGTATTTAGCAGTGAGTATTGGGGCATTGTTTACTGATTCCTGTTCTGGTCTGAGCACTAGGGGATTCTTTGGAGATCGGGTCATTTTTTTCCCTAGAACTTCTCGTTGTACATATCAGGGAAATATTTTTGGTTTAGTTTTTTAAAAGAAATTTGCATGTGTTCATCCTGAGTTGTCTTTTTTTTTTTCTTTTTTTTTTCTTTTATTGGGCTGCACTCAGAGGTGCTCAGGGCTCACTTCTGGCTCTGCAGGATCACTCCTGGTGGGCTCAGGGAACCATATGAGATGGCAGGTATAAAACCCATTCAGCCTGTGCAAAGAAAACATCCTACCTATTCTATTATTGCTCAAGCCCATTTTTCTGAGTTTTCTTGTTTCAGATTTAAGGCTGTAGGATTTCCTGGACTTATTTTAGTGATCAGGAAAGTATACTATAAGATGCTGGTTTCACAATTTTTTGAGTTGAGGAATCAGCATGTGTCGGGCTGGGGGGAGCCCAGGTCTGTGTTAAGTCTGGACCCAGGCTGTTCTCATGACAGTTCCCTGCTAAGAATGGAAGGTGCCCTTTATTAATTGGTTTTTGAGTCACACCTGGCAATGCTCAGAGCTTACTCCTGACTCTGCACTCAGGAATCACACCTGTGGTACTTGGGGAAGTATATAGATGGGCCAGGGATCGAACCTGGGTTGGTCACATGCAAGGCAAGCGCCTTACCTGCTGTACTATCTCTCCAGCCCCTGGAAGTGCCTCCTGCTCAAACTTGGGCTCTCCACTCTTTTGGGAGAGATCAGGACTGAGCATCTTCTCTGTGGATTTAGACTTCTTGGGGCCACTGTGTGCAGACAGTACTCCTCTTGAGAAGGATGTCCTTAACCACTCAGAATTTATCTTACTGGAGAACCTAACTTCCCGCTATGAGGTGCCTTGTGTCCTGGACCTCAAGATGGGGACGCGCCAGCATGGTGATGATGCTTCTGAGGAGAAGGCAGCCAACCAGATCCGCAAATGCCAGCAGAGCACCTCTGCGGTCATCGGTGTGCGCGTGTGTGGCATGCAGGTGAGCAGGGTGCTGGGCCTACCTGCCACTCCCCAACTTAGGCATACTGCTGTTTTGTTTCAAAGGATTCCCAATTTGGGACCAGGGCTGTGGCTTTAGTAATAGGCATGTGCAGAGCTTGTGTGTAGACCCTGGTTTTGATCCATGGCACCACATGGTCCCACTAGTGTTTCTCAGTTTGGGCCCTTCAGCACCAACAAGATTCCAGATTTGCCTGCGTCCACTGTGATTTGATCCTGGGACTGGCCTGGCTGGCTTAGTTCAGTTTGTGAACTGGGGAGGGGAGGATTGGAGAGGTGGGAAGGCAAGATTAGACCTCTCTCCACTGACCCATGTACTCAGCAGGGACTGGGGACAGAACCAAAGCCATGGGGCTTGCTTTTTGATTGGGTGTTGATGGGAGAGTGCAGTCATATCTCGTTGGTGCTCCCCCCAGGCCCGGCTCTGAGATGGCTCTGACCATCTGACCCACTTGACTTCCCACAGGTGTATCAGGCAGGCAGCGGGCAGCTCATGTTCATGAACAAGTACCATGGACGGAAGCTGTCCGTACAAGGCTTCAAGGAGGCGCTTTTCCAGTTCTTCCACAACGGGCGGTACCTGCGCCGTGAACTCCTGGGCCCTGTGCTTAAGAAGCTGGCTGAGCTCAAGGCAGTGTTGGAGCGACAGGAGTCCTACCGCTTCTACTCAAGTTCCCTGCTGGTCATCTATGATGGCAAGGAGCTGCCGGAGATGTCCCTGGACTCAGATGCTGAGGACTTAGAGGACCTGTCAGAGGAGTCAGCTGATGAGTCTGCCGCTGCCTATGCCTACAAACCCCTGGGTGCCAGCTCGGTGGACGTGCGCATGATCGATTTTGCACACACCACATGCAGGCTCTATGGCGAGGACCGCGTGGTACATGAGGGCCAGGATGCTGGCTACATCTTTGGGCTCCAGAGCCTGATAGACATTGTCACAGAGATCAGTGAGGAAAGTGGAGAGTGAACGTGCTGGCTGCACCAGCACCTGAGAGACTCTCTGTGTCCCAGTCACAGCTGCGCTGCGTCGGGAAGGAGGCCAGTATGGCCAGGCGGCCCCTGCAGCCTGGAGCTGACAGCCAGAGGCCTCTTGAGTCCCAGCCTGAGCCAGCCCTAACTGCGCTCGGAGTCTATTTATTTTAACTATTTCTTCAACATTCCACATTTGATGATGCAGATACCTCTTCCCTGAGTGTAAATGTTCTAATACAGATCTTTTTGTTAATTGTACAGAGTGTTGCTGTCATTCTTGCCAGGGGTGGAAGCAGTCCTTGTTCCTTAGCTATCTCTCATGGACAGTAACCTCCACACTCACCCAATTATGTGCTCGCCACCATCACCACCTATGGGCCCAAAAATCTGTCTAGACCTCGGGGTTGGAAAAGTTGGGACAAAGAGTACAAAGAACTACATCTGACACGACTCTTCCTTGCAGCTTAAGCCAAAGTTGGGCAGCAAGTATGCCAAAACCTTGAGTCCAGCTCCTGTGCCACTGGCAGCAACTGGGGATCCAGTACTGGAACCCCAGGTAACCACTGATTTGGGTTAGTGAGATGAGACTGACTCAGTCCTGACCTCAGTGGCAAATTGTTGCAGGAGGGGAAGGCTCACTGAGGAGGTATTCTGGAGGGTACCTCTGCCACTGCACCTCTTACTGCTACTAACACAGCCCTGGACCTGACTGCACCCATGCATGCCATCCTCATCTTTCATGCAGTTCTGGGCAGGGCAGCTTATAAAGAGCTGTTAGTCTGGTTTGGGGGGAGCAAGGTGTGTGACCCAGAGATTTGAACTGCCCGTGCAAGGGGAAAAGGTACAGATAAGGGCCAATAAGGCAGGGTCTGGATTCCTAGTTTCAGAAGCTCCATCCTGCTCCTGAATTCCTCAGCACCTCTTCAAGGATTCCTGTGCCTAAATTCACTGTGTCCAAATCAGGTCAACTGTTCACTGGACCCACGCCCAGCTCTCTTGTTTGTCTCACTTGCTCCACCACTGAAGCCGGGATTTGGGGATTTGGTGAAGACAGGTCCTATGTCCTAGGGGAGACACAAAGGGGACCTCTCCCCCTTTGCCCTCCCCCCAACCCCTCCGCGCGCCACTCACACACACCCACATCGCAGGTGACATCAAATGTCAAACAAGGAGATTCAACTAGGTAGCAGGAGTGAAGGGCAAAGGCTGAGCAGCTGGGCTGCGCGCGCAGTGCTCCTTCGGGAAACAGGACAGGCTGTAGACCCGGGGTCCCAAAGGAAAAGTGACTGGAGGGCCGAGCGGGAGGAGCGGAGGAGGAGGTCAGGGCTAGATCTGGATGAAGCAGGAGAAATTCCCAGGACGAAAAGCGGCGACCTCCCACCAGTGCCGCGCCCCTTGCGACCGCCAGGGGGCGCCGCAGCCCCCCGCGCGTGGGCGGCGCGCCCGGGGCGGGGCTGCGGCGGGCGAGTGCGTGCGCGCACGCGCCGTGTGTCACGGGGCGGGGCGGGGCGAGCGAGGCGCGGCGCTCCCGGGCCTGGCGTCCTGGTTCCGCAGCCCCCGCCGCCTCCCCGGCTCTGCGCGGCCCGGCCCGGCCCCATGTACCGCGCGCTGTACGCCTTCCGCTCGGCGGAGCCCAACGCGCTGGCGTTCGCCGCGGGCGAGACCTTCCTGGTGCTGGAGCGCAGCAGCACGCACTGGTGGCTGGCGGCGCGGGCGCGCAGCGGGGAGACCGGCTACGTGCCGCCCGCCTACCTGCACCGCCTGCAGGTGAGTGTGCCCCTCCCCGGCCCCGCGCCCCGCTCCAGGGCCGCCGGGCCCACCCCGGGCCAGGCCTGTCGGGGCCTTCATCAGATGGAGAGCTTGAGAACAGGATCCCCCCTCCACCCCCGACACACCGCCCCAGACCCTCCAGCGCACGCACGGGGTTCCCCGGAGCCAACACCCTCGCCGAAACGCCAGCCCTTGACAGCCAGAGGCTTCCAGACTTAGCAGAAGATGAACTCTGGGATTGAGACTTCTTGGGATCACAAATCTAAAGCCTCTTCTGAATGGAATCCAAAAGTCAGCCCTGAGAGCAGTGCCCCGCATTCTGACTGGTACTCGCACCCCCAAGTCCCCGTCGCTAACAGACCTTAGGCCTCCCCGAACCCCAGCCGCCATGTCCACCACCTGTTTCTAACCATCCTCCACGCCCTCCCCTCCCCCTGCGGACCCTGGAGCCATAACCACCCACTTTCCTGATCAGTATCTCAGTCACCCCCTCAGCTCTTACTAAGCGACCCCCACACACACTCTTTGGGGCGGCATTAGGGATTAAACCCTGGGCCTCACACAGGCCAGCTAGGATGGTACTGCTGCATTCCTGGCTCCCCTTTTTAGACCCAAGGCTGCCCGCCTCTGCTGGCACTCCCTGGCACTGCCCTCCCCACCTCCTCTCCCAAGCCTCAGGCCTCGACTTTGCAGACTTCCTTTCTCTAAAGTGAGGGATACTGTGCCCCCCCATCTCCAGAGTCAGGGGCTGCTCCTGTTGTAGAAACTGAGGCCTCCGGCCCCTCTCGCTCTGGCCCTTCCCTAGCAGAGGAGCTGCAGTACCAGTGCCTGCTCCCCAAGAATAGCCCTGCTGTGGGGGCTGGGGTGCCAGGCTCCAGCTGGTCTGTTCTGACCCTGGGGAGGGAGGGTCTGGAGCCTGCTGGCCTGTGCCACATGCCCCCGCCCCATCCTTGGCCCAGGTCTTTCCAGAAACATCTTGCCTCTACCCAGTTCAGGACAGAAATAACAGGGTAAATGTGGAGGTGTCGTCTGGTCACAGCAGAAGTGGTCCATGGCCCCCACCAGGGCTGGTGAGGTGGGAGTGAGCACCTCAAATCTGACTCCTGGGGGTCTTGTTGGCAGCCTGTGAGGCAAGTCCTGCTTCTTCCTCCGGCCCCCTGCCTGGGAGCCCCTCCTTTTGCCAGGGCTCTGGGGTCTGGGTGGGTTGCTGTTGCCCTCTCGGCGGATCCCTGCCAGTCCTCCTCTGTGTCTCACCCTCCTCCACGTGTGTGCTTCCTCTGACGCGCATTCCTGCTCTGGTTCTCCCATTTCTGTCTGCGTGGTCCCCCCTCCCCTCCCCCGCGTCCTTCTCACTCTGAATCTTTCTCCTCTCACCCTGTCTGGCTCCCGACTCAGGCGCTCCCCGTGCTACCTAGAGGTTTTCACTGACGTGGGCGTCCATCTGTCCGTCCTTGTCAGGGAAGCGTTGCAAACCTGTTTTGGAGTGACGTCACCTCAGTTCTGAGGCTTCTGCGTAGCCTGATGGGCCATGTGTGCCAGCAGTGGGGCGGGATGGGGGTGGCTGGTCCCACAGCTGCCACCCCCTACGCCCCACCCGTGCTACTCAGGCTGAGATTGGACCCCAGAGCCTTGGGGGATGGCGCCGCAGAATCTGGGGCAGGGGCCAGGCCGCCCTCTCTGCGCCATCCTTTGCCACAGACGCAGAACCCAACTGCTGCTTCCCAGGAATCTTCTGGGCCTGGAGGACTCCTCAGACATAGCTTGGGGAGGCTGAGGGATGCAGGCAGCAGGGAGAGAAGAGAAGATCTGTCCAGCCCAGCCCAGCTCAGCATCAGCTTCCTGGGCCTGCAGATGCTGAGGGAGGACAGAGCCATTCCCCAGTCCATCCTCGGTTCCGGGAAGGGTCGGCGGGTGCACAGGGACTGCTGAGCCTTCCACATATGTCAGGCTCCCTGCTTGGCATCTCCATCTGGACGCTGAACCCCGCCAAGATCGGCTGTGCCCACCCGGCCCTGGACGCAGGCTTCCTGTGGTGTTTCTGCTCTACACCCCTGATTTTCAGAGACGCGTTAGCTGAGGGCCTCGGTTTCTACTGGCATGGGATCCTGAGGAGGGCCCCGATCTGTGAGGCAGCTGCATGGGTGCCTCCTCTGAGAAGCCTGTTTCATGGCTATGTTCAGCCCTCAGCCTCCAGGCCCTGCACTGCGCTGCAGGCAGCGACCAGGCAACTAATCTCGGCCCCAGCTTTCGTCCAGGCCTGAGCAGGCTGATGTCCCTCCTCTGTCTCCCAGGGCCTGGACCACGATGTTCTCCAAGCCATTGACCGGGCCATCGAGGCTGTGCACAATGCAGCCATGCGGGATGGGGGCAAGTACAGCCTGGAGCAGCGAGGGGTCCTCCAGTGAGTGTCTCTGGGGTCCAGCCAGAGACATGGGGTAGGGGGGGCTCCTGTGATGCCTGGGGCTGAGTGGCGGGCAGGGCTGGGGGTTGCTGGAGTACAGAGAGGGGGAGGGCCAGTACCTGAAGCCCTTGGGAGCTGTAAGGTGTCCCTCTCCCTGCTCACTGTCACCCTGCCATCCCGCCCTCAGGAAGCTGATCCACCACCGGAAGGAGACCTTGTCCCGCAGAGGACCAGCCGCTGCCACCAACCCAGCAGCTCTGCCCTCATCCACCAGTGACCACCACCTGGACGCCGCCAGGCAGCCCAACGGGGTCTGTCGAACAGGGTTCGAGAGACAACACAGCCTGCCCAGTTCCGAGTACCTTGGGCCGGATGGTGGGCTCTACCAGGTAGAGGGGAGAAGAGGGAGGAGGGAAGACTGAAAACTTTGGGGGGCCCCCAGAGTCAGCCGGGCCTATGCTGGGAGCTCGGACCCTGGGAAGGCTGGCACCTCAGAAGGCAGCTTGTCCCCCCAGATCCCGCCACAGCCTCGCCGGGCAGCGCCCACCACCCCACCCCCACCCGTGAAACGCCGAGACCGTGAGGCCCTGATGGTCTCAGGAAGTGGTAAGATAGGGAGCGGGAAACGGGGGGTCCTTGCTGGGAGGCGGGGCTCCAGGCAGGGGGCGGGCAGCAGGCATGTTGGGGCAGTAGGGGGTTCTGGCCTCCGTGCTGAAAAGTGGGGCCTGGCCGTGAAGGGAAGGGTATCCCGACTACTGGGGGCATAGCCTCTGCCCTGCCCGCAGGAGGCCGCCACGTCACGCCCTCAGGGGGCAGCTCCCTCTGCAGCGGCTCATCAGTCAGCAGCACGACCCTGGACACCCTCTACACGGGCTGCAGCTCGTCCGAGTCAGGCTCCAGCTGCTCGCCCACACCCCCGCCCGTGCCTCGTCGAGGCGCCCACACCACCGTGTCCCAAGCTCCAGCATCAAAGGAACCTGACCCAGAGCCCCCTGCCGAAGAGGCAGCGGCAGAAGAAGCCTCCACAGCCCCCAAAGAGCCGGAGGCCGAGTCTGAGCCGAGTCCCGAGGAGGCCACAGAGGAGCAG